AGTTGAAGTAAACTGGTAAATAAGGTGGTGTAATTAACACTGCACCAACAACGTACGAAGGAATCTATTATTGCAAACATAAAAATGCAACCTGACTGACTATCTCTGAAATTAAAATGTTTTGAACACGGCGTAAAATGTAAACAATAAATCGCCACCACTTTTGCACTCGGTGCTTATTACGAACTATCTCTACTTGGTATAAAATTACTGTAAAATAAATTTGTGAATCATACCTAATTAGTCGTTCATTTACTGAAGTCTTGTTATAACTGTTATAGCAAACACTGATAAAAATGTCAAGTAAGTAAAAATTTTATTCTTATATAAAAAATATTCACAAGAAATTTAAAAATAATTTTACTCTCCACAAATATTTATATTTTATTTTTTGTTAAATTTTAATTATTGATATACTCTCAAAAATAAACATTCGTTTTTATATTAATACTTTAAAAACTTTTCTTTAAATTTAACAATATACCGAGTGTTCAAGATATTTTTTCATACTGCCAACAACATAATAATTTTGAAACAAAATGTATATTTATTTCTATCCAAATATATTTTAGGTTTTAAAAACTGTTAAATTTACCTTGTGCTAAGATACCACCTACAACTTTAATTATTTCAATAACAATCCTTTTTACTAATATTTCTATAACAATTTTTATATCTAATGGATCTATTTTATTTTTTTTTATAAAAAACTGGTAATTTATAGACACTCAATTTTCTGTTATGGTTTGTTTTTTGATATTCTCATTTCATGAGTTTGATGTCTGTCAAAATATTAAGTGCTATTTTTCTTTTAATTTGAGGATGAAAGAAGAAAAATGTATAGATATTATTTCAATAATTTACACTCAAGGGTAGTATATTAAGTTAAATTTGAATATATATCTTAAAAAAATTAATTATGTACCAATTTTTAATAAAATATAGGAAAAATTTCAATAATTTTCTAATGTTTTTAATATCCAAAATGATATCCATATTTTTATATAATTTGTTTTCATTGTGTTAGAATACTGTCATATATCACTTATGACAATATATTCATTTTAAATAAATATATTTTTTAACCTACAAAGGAAACTCATTTATTTTTATTTTATTATTTTCTTTTTATTACAGACCAATCTTGTTGTGAAAACACAGCTTCTGAAGTCCAAAAAGGATGCTGCGAAAGATCATCTACAACTTCCAGTGATCAACAATTGACTGGTACTAATTGTCCTTGTTGCAGGCAAACAACTACATGTTGCATAGATAAGACATCAACCTGCAAAGGGAAGAAAGAATGCTGTAAAGAAGGAAATAGTTGTATCTGTACATGCTGTGAAGAACCAACGTCTGATGGCTGCAAAGAGCTAACCTCTGATTGTTGCAAAGAAGGATCTTGCTGCTTTACTGGTGAATGCCGTAACAAAACTTCCGATGATGGAACTTCTTGCTCGAAGGATGGAAATTGCGCCTGTAATAATTGTAATAGAAGCTGCTGCGCAAATGAAAAAAATAAAAAATTAGAGTGTTTCGAAGATTCATCTTGTTGCTGCAAAAATGGAAACTCCAACAAAGGCTGTTGCAAAAATAAAAAGGCTTGCGAATGCTCAAAAAAATCATCTATTGGTTGGTGCAAAGGTCCAACCTCTAATTGCTGCAAGGATGGAAATTGTTGCAGCAAAGATAATTGTTACCAAAATGGATGCGAGTGCGAATGCTGTAAAAAAACTCTTTATTATTGCAGCAAAAATGAAAACGCGGATAAGTGCTTTAAGAAAATTTCTGGTGATTGCTGCAAAGATGAAATCACTTGCTGCAAAGAAAATACCTGTATTAAAATAAAAAATTATTGCGACAAGGTGAATAAAAGTTGCTGTAAAGTTGAAAATGCTAGCTCCTGCTGTAATAATACTTCTGTTGATTGCTGCAAAGATGAGACGTCGTGCTGCAGGATAAATATTAACTGTAGCTGTAACTGTAAGGTTGATGCAAAATGTTGCAAAGAACCAAGAACTTTCAACGATTGTTCCGACGAACGCAGAGAACGTAATTCTAAATCTTGCGTATCTAGCAAGAATAAGAAGAAATGCTGTAAGAGCGAATCTGGAGGATGTTGCAAAAATGGTACAGCTTCTATGACAACAAGTTTTGTTACTTCATAAATTTTACTCCGTAGAGTTTTACTGAACAATTAGACATTTGTTCTATATTTAGCTATGATATTATAAAATAAATTAAATTCACTTTTATCATTCGTTGTTAAAGTAAATAAAAATACACACAAGTTTACAATATTTTATTTCATTTAAATACCTAAATAGCTTCAAAATCTAGACTTATAAAACTATTATATTGTGCTCGCAAGATTAAATCTGCTTTGCTTGTATTAAAGTAAATAATAAATGGTGTTTGCTTATGTAGGAAGAGAAACATCGATGTTACCAGTTACCAGTCGATACTCTACTGATCGGTGACCCGACCTATGACTGCCAACATTGATATCGTTTCTACTTCTGCATATGTGAACGCTATGTAGGTTCAGATTACAATAAGAAAAACACAGCTACGTCATGACTTTGAGTAATATATTGGATTTCATCGCCTACTGTGGGTTTAGTGAAGTGTTATTAATATAGGAATATACACTGAAAAAAATTTGGTGCCTACAATGTAAAAAAACTTTGATAATAACTGTAAATTTCACAACATAATGATTGTAAATATAACTTACAGTGATTTTTACTGTAAAAAGGATTCGATTGTTCTTAAAAGTACAAACTTTTTGCTAAAAATACTTTTCTTAATGTAAAAATACGAGTTTATTTGAGGTATATCTAATTTACTTGCATTTTTACAGTTTTAGAGGAATAATCAAAGGTAAAACCACAGGACTTTTAGTATTATTACAGTTATATGAATTAATTCACAAGTCGCCTGTAGATTTACAATATTTTGGTACGTTTTAAACTTGCAATTTTACAAGAGATATGTAAAAATATATGATGTTAGTCTTATTACCATGTAATCTTAAATGATGAAAGTGTTTTTACAATAACCTCGTAAAAATTCAAAGATATTGGTTGATTCACAAATGCCTTGTAAATTTACAATATCCGTAAGTACAATATCCATTTGTAATCTAACAATAATTCTGTAAAATTACATTATTGCTGTAATTAATAGAAAATAAAATAATTTTTACAATATTCCTGTCAAATTAAAAGTATATGGGTTAATTTACAAATATTTTGTAGTTATACAATATTTTTAAATCCGTTTTACACATGTAATTTTACATACCATTTGTGAATTTACATTGCCTTGTAAAAATACGTACATTTCCTGTTATTCATACATACAATGTAGAATTACAATATACTTAGACCGTTTTAGCATCTTAATTTCACATGAATTTTATTAGAGATGTGTTTTTTCAAGATCCTTGTGCAATGAAAATAAATTGTTTACCAGAATTTGGAAAGCTTATGATACTATCTGCAAGTCTCACAACTTAATGGTTGTAAATGTAATTTATAGTGATTTTTACTGTAGAAAGGGTTACACCCTTCTTAAAATTATAAACTTTTTTACTAAAAATAATTTTTAGAGGAAAAAAAGTTATAATTGTATAAAAAATACGTATTTATTTGCATTTTTACATTTTTGTGGGAAATTAAAAAGTGAAAACACAAATGTTTTAGTATTGTTACAGATCTATGAGTTAATTTACTAATGTCCTGTAAATTAACAATATTTAGGTAAGTATCAACCTTGCAATTTTACAATAATAATCGTTTAAAATTATACGATTACCTTGTTATTTTAACTGATAAAAGAATCTTACAATAATCTTGTGAAAATACAAATATATGAACGGATTCATACATGTTTTGTAAATTTTCAACATCTATAAGTTCGCTTCACATTGTGGAATGTAACAATTAATCTGTAAAATTACATATATGCAGTAATTGTTAAAAAATATATGGATTTTTACAATAATTTTGTCAAAATAAAAATATATAGGTTAATTTACAAATATTTTGTAGAGATACAATATTTATTCTGTGAATTTACACTCGTAAAAATACAATTAAATCTAGTTATTCACATATATAATACAGAGTTATAATATACTTAGGCCGTTTTAGCATCTTAATTTCACAAGAATTTTGTAAAATTCCATAATTGTGTTAATCATTCAATATACATGGTGAGCCACCAAAATATTTCCTTTTATCAGGTTTTTTTTAAGTTTTAATGCAAAAAAACAAAAAGGTGCTCGAAAAAATCTATATGGTTTATAGTGAAACTTTTCTTTTTTTTATTGCAACATAAGCACTTTAAGCAGTAGGGTGAACAACCCCTAAAATTCAATCATAAGGCTATTCATTGCTTTACTTTTGATTTAGCCCCCTTTGGCTTGTAAAAATTGTTAACTATTGTAAAGTGTATTTTTTCATTTAAAAGATAATTTTATAACTTTTTCAATGTACCACATAACATTATTCTAGGTATCTCCATATTGCACTAGCAACATAGTGAAATATAGTCATTGTTTGTATTATTGCTAACTTTATTTTGTTGCAAATGTTTATTTAATTAATAATAAAATTAGCTTTCAAATTAAGTGTCACACTTTATAGTAATAACAGTTTTTTTTATAAAACTGAAGGGCACTATGAATAAATCTTATTGCCACATTCTCCATCAAATTACATTTTCAATGATGTGTCAACCTTGGTACTTTACCTATTTAAATTGTAGAGGTTGTTTGCCCCGCTGCCCAAGAGTTGAAGTTCCGATGCTGCAATTAGAAAAAAGTATCCCTCTCCAAACTAAGAACGACCTGGCGAGCATTTTTTTATTTTTTACATCAACACGAAAAAACCTAAGTCGCAAATTTTCGGTGATCCACCTTGTATTTTGATGGAGCACCTTGCATCGTTACAAGCTATACAGCTATACTGTGAAATTACAAGAGTGTTGTGATTTCTCAAGATCCTTGTGTCTCCGCACCAATCAAAAGTTTGTATGACGCGTAAGTCTCTAACGAGCTTGGACATGAATTGTTACGTCGCATCAGTTGCATTATTGTGCTTTCTGCTTGGTGTGTGATGTGTTGTTTGTAATGGTCCAAAGTTTTATATTATTAGGGTAAGTAAAAAACGTTTATTTTAATATTATGTTTATATGTAAAATATGTGGTATTTCATTCAGACTAATTAAAAAATATGAACTGCATCAGTATTTTCACAGAAATGTGTCTAACGTAAAATTTAAATGCATTCGAACTAACTGTCATGCATTTTTAAGCAGCTATGTTAACTACAAAAGTCACATAGTTCGAAATCATTCGAATGAAAAAACACAAATGAAGCTTTTAGATGAAAGATACAAATGTCGTGTAGAAGGTTGTAAATTTGTAGATCATAATAAAAAGTTATTTTCCAAACATTTGTATGATCATATTAAATCTGGAATTTCAATGAAATGTCCTTTTCAAAACTGCAAATCTAAAACACGATACGACAAGGTCCCAAATTTAAGTAACCATATTCTCAGGTCGCACAATGCTAATACTGATGTTAACGTGACTAAGTGTAAACCTGATTTTTTAAGTAATGTTGATAATGAAGTAAGCCTTGCGGATGAATTTGTTTTAGAAAATCATACTTTTCAGCATTTAGAAAAATTAAGTCAAAACATCATTAGTTCTTTGTATTTAGCTTTAGAATCAAAGTTTTTTGTTACTAATAAAAGTTTGCAATTTTTTATAGATGGGATGATAGATATTAATGATATTAATAGAAGCTACATTACTAAGCTTTTGGGCCACAATGAAATTTTGATTACTCCGGATATGATTAAAAATGATTTGTTTAGTAAAGCTCACGACTTAAAAACTGGATACTTGAGGTCAAAATTTATACGGCATAAATTTTATAAAAATAAATTTAATTATGTTGCTCCTAAAAAAATTGAAATTTGTGAAAAATCTTTTTTCTATTATGTATCAATTGTTGACAATATAAAATCATTATTTAATAATGAAAACTTTAGTAAACAGTATTTTTCACCCACTAAATCGTTAGCAGATAGTATCTCTGATGTTCGCGATGGCTTAGTGTTTAAAAATAATCCTTTTTTTTTGGAAAATGAGGATGCCCTTCAGATAATACTATACCAAGATTCATTCGAAATTTGTAACCCCCTAGGCTCTTCAAAAATAAAACACAAAATAGTTGGTATTTACATGGTTATAGGAAATATACCTACTTGGCATCGCTCTAAAGTAGAGCAAATTGTATTAGTAGCTCTAATTTATGAAAAGGATTTTAAAAAAGTTCCCAGTCATTTATTGCTTCATGAAATCATTAAAGATCTTAAAATTTTAGAGGATAAAGGAGTACTGATTGAAAATAAAACAATTCGAGGTTCCCTAGCTGTGGTAGTTGGTGATAATTTGGGAAACCATCAAATCGGTGGTTTTAATGAAAATTTCCACCCAAACAGTTATTTCTGTCGCTTTTGTTACATTCAAAATCTCGATTCAAGTACTATTTGTTGTAAATATGATAAACGTACTAAAGATTCATATATGTATGATGTTAACATGTCTGAAACATGTGGCAAAGCTTATAGGGGAGTAAAACATAATTCCGTCCTTAACAAATTATCTCATTTTCACGTATGCCAACCAGGTTTAAGTCCATGTATTGCCCATGACTTATATGAAGGAGTAATCGCACATGATGTAATGTTGATTTTAAATAAATTATTTTCAAAGAAGATTTTAAGTTTAGACTTCTTGAATCAAAAAATTAAGGTGTTTCTATTAGAGGAAGAAGGAAAATTACATTTACCTTTATTAAAAGGAGAGAAGTTGCATGGTACCTTATCACAAAATATGATGTTTGTAATTGTTTTGCCCTTTATTTTAGATAACCATAAAGAAATAAATACATTATTATCAGATCCCTACTGGAAATTGTTCCTTATTTTACGAAAAATAAATAATATTATACTGGGATTCAAACTTTCTGTTTCACAAATTTCCATTTTACGTACCCTCATATCTGAATATATTATTTTTCGTAATGAACTGTTCCCGGATGAAAGATTTAAGCCTAAACATCATTACATGACACATTTCGCAGATCTATGTCAACAAATAGGTCCTTTAAGACATCTGTGGACATTAAGGTTTGAGAGTAAACATTTATATTTTAAAAATGCTGTTAAACATACTTCTAATTTTAAAAATGTCTTATTTTCTTTAACAGAAAAACATCAATTGCTGCAAGCATACAATTTGTCACAAAATTTGGTTTATAATGACAATATCTATTCTGAAAACGAAAAGCAATATAATAATAATAATAATAACGACTACCCGTTTTATGTAAAAAAACTTATAAATTTATACATTTCATCTAAAAACTGTTTTATCGCATTGAAAGCTACCTATAGATCGTTAACATATAGCAAAAACAGTATCGTTTGTTACCATAAAAATGAATATGGATTATATTTAACATGCAAAATATATTTTATAATAATAAATGAAAGCTTCGACAGATTATATTTTATTGGGCAGAAGAAGCTATTATTCTATAACGAGGTTGATGGTTTGTATTATGAATCAGATTTTAACGATGAAAGTATTTTAATAAAATACGAAGAGCTTCTTAATCCAGAACCACTGCTACAATATAAAGCTAATGGTGATATCTATAAATATTATTTTAAGTCAGCTCCATATGAAACATTTTAAGTGTTTTATTGGGTCATATACATACGTCCATAATTTTCAATAGCTATTTGTGTATTAAGAGCGGAAAGTGCTACTTTGCCGTTTTAGTCAGAAAGTTGTGCGGTCCACAGCGAAGTGCAGCATTTTATCATAAGCAGCAAATAGCTTTCTACTCGAATTACACAGAAGATTTTTTCTACGATCACATGATATTAAAAGTATATAGTTTTATTTTTCCGAATTCAAATTTTACTTTGTTAATTTGACATACATGGCTAACTTGACTAACTAACGAAAAGTATATTTTGTGTATATTGTGTTGCCTGATTTCTTGAAGATTAATTTTATGATTAGCATAAAAAATATGTGTTAGTAAGTAAATCTTAAAAATAACTTCTAAGATCGGTTAGAATTTTCTTAATGGCAAATTGATGGCTCATACACTGTTTTAAAAGTTTTAATTTTACAAATAAAAAAATCAGTTTAAAATAAAAAAAATTAACAGGTGAGGATTGAACTCACGACCTTTAGATTGAAAGACCAATCCATTACGCTCTACAGGGTTAAAAACAAAGTAATTTATTTTTTAATATTTAAATTATCATTTAAATATTAAGAAAAATTAGTTTTTTGTTTTAAAATACCGATTAGCTTTATCATAACAACCTTTTTAATGAAAATAGGCGTTTGAAAAAAGTAACTTTCCGTCCATCAATAATGTCAAACTTTGACAATTCACGGAAAACGTCAACTTTCCAGTTAGATTTAAATGTACAAAAGCCTACTTTGGATAGTGATCGTAGAGAAAAATAATTATTTTTCTGAATATTATTTCTATAAGTATACTAATTAAGAGAATTATGATGACTATATCACTTATTGAAATATGAACCAATGAAAACGCTCGATTTTCCGTATAGTTCTTATCTATTACAGCCGGTATTTACTTATTATGACGTAAATATATGAACCCTTGTATAATCGATTTTACAAGAGTTCGTATATTCACTTATGTCAAAACTGCGATTAGATAGGTAACTATGATCACTTCAAAATCTGACAGTTGTCAATATTTTTATTCATCACGGCTCATTTTAGCAATATTTTTTTATTTCATGATATGGTCTATCTATATACAACTTAACAAATGAAAATTCTAGATTATACGAAACGTATTGCCTGAAACACCACGAGACCGCAGATCGAGTGCTATTATTTTTTAGGCATTACGTCGAGTTTCGAGAATTTTCAAATTGTATAATATATGAAAATTTCACACCAATATTTTATAACCAAATAAATGCTCTTGTTCAAAAACGTCTCCATGACAACCAGAAAAATTTACAGAAATTTTTCTCATAGTGGGTACCCTGATTGAAATTACACTGAAAATGTTTTTACATTTGATACTACCACGCGATGTGACGGGTGATTAAACATTTTCCATTTCAATTGTTGTTAATATTTTATTTAATACCAAAAAACTATGCCTGTGAAGTTTTGAAATTTTCATATTTTGGTGTAAAATTTTCTTATCGAATACCACACGTGTCTAAATTATTATCTGGAAATAATTTAGACACTATAGTGGTATTATAGATGAAAAATTTATTAAAAAATTCAACGTGGTAACAAAAGTTACAGCGATTTAATGTTAGCTCATACTGCACAAATGTTGAACATTTTTGCTTTTTTTTTAATATAAATGTTTATTTACTCCGCAAAAACCAATAAATAATATGTGATTGATACTTTTTTACATTTTTTAAAATATAGCCTATCCCAAATCTTATTTTTCAAGACACTAGGTTTATGTGAGCCCTTGAGTAAAAATGTGTAAAAAAGCAAAACAAAAAAAGTAAAAATTAATAATAACATTCTTTTAAAAAGTTTTTTACCAATTTATGTAGAAAAAAATTTGTGTCTTTTTGATTTGCTTATCAAGTGACTTTTCACATTTTATTTCAGATGCATGAGATCATTTTTTAAACTTCTTTTGGCCTTTAATGTTGACAAAATTGATTGTTATTTACTTTTGGTAAATGTTCTTTTATTTTTAGCACACAGTAAGATAATACGAGAATTAAAATTTATATTTATTTTGGAAAAGATGGACAAACATTTTTTTAAAATATGGAATCTAAATAGAGATAAAAAGTTTGTAGTTGTTGTAGAGGATATTAATGATTTACTACTGCAGGTAGTCGTAAAAGGTAAAATATTTTTTATGTTTCTTACTTCTACAATAGTTTTTAAAGCCAAGGAAATCAAATCTCGAACTTAATCGCAATAAATAAATTAATTTTAAACTTCCGCCAAGTATAATTCCATTCAGTTTAACACACAATTTTGTTACTCTATAACTTCTAAATTTGATTGGCATTAGATAAAAACCTAGGCTTTTCATTGACGTTTTTCAACTTAAGATAACTTATAAGCTGTTACAATATGAATTTTTATACATGGTGGCCCATTTGTGTGTGGAAGTCCAACGATTTTTTATCCCTGTTATTTTTAGGCTATCAATTAAAATAAAAATTGGTCAATAAATATAATTTTTAGTACCTAGGTATGTTTTATTGTTAGTAAAAAATACCAAATAGTGAAATAATATACTGGATGGTCAATTTGAAAAAAACAAGGAATTTTAAATGTTTTAAGAATAGCAAGTTAATAGATACCTCCTTATAAAATCGTCTATAAATAAAAATAAACTTTAGATCCTCTTAAACATTTCATATATCCCTTATGTTTGTATTTATCAAACATTTTAACTCAACTGTTAATCATAAAAGTTTTTATAATATTTGTCATGAACAATTTTTCAGTATTTTTTTTCAAATTTTTTGCCATGCATTGAAAACGTCGTAGATTAAAAAAAAACTTTGTTTTGGAGCGTAACATTTTACGCTGAAATCAATAATGAAAACAAATATATGCACGATGTAACGGAACACTCTGTATAGTTCACATTATTTTGTAAATATGCAAAAAAGTAAACCCTATAACTTTTATCATATTTCTTATGATTGATAAGCGAGATATTGAACTTCCTCTAGCTGGTATATCATAGGACATACGGTACTTAACATAATTTTTACTGTCTGATTACTTTATTGGTATAATTGTTTTAGCATCACAAAAGATGATGATAGATGGGTCAAATTTAGTACTAGAAGTAGATGGAACTTTAGTTGATGAAGACGATGTTCTTCTATCTTTAAAAACAGAAACGTTTATCCTGTTAACCAAAGATGAAATATGGCGACCAGCAATCCAGTCGCTTTCATCATGGGAAACTTTGTCAAATGGTTCAACTTTAAGCCTATCTAGTACATCTTCTGGAATAACTAATACAAATACTAATTTATTAATTCATGATGTTATCACCTTAAACAATACTGCAGATGCAAATATAGAAAATGTGAATGTTTCTAATATACTACCCATTGAATTCAACACTAATATGGAATACCTTTGGTCTAAATTTATGGTACCATGGGAAAAAATTCCTGCAGACATTATTACACAATGTGAAGAACATAAGATAAATCAGCAAAATATGCATCAGCTGATCCATTTGATCGTACATGAGATGAGGCAAATTAAACAAAACATTCCTATGAAAGCATTTCGGTATGTGGCTAAGCAAATGGTCGATAAATATCCATCCACCTTTAGAGACAGCGATTCTGATGGAGTTGTGATAGGAGATGGAACACATTCCTTAATAATGAAATTGTCAGATAGAAATCATTACCTCAATAGACCTCATAAACGAAAAAATACACAATCGCTGGTATCTGCCAGTTTAAAAAAGAAACGATTGAACAATGAAGCAATGTGCTGTAATTATGAACCTCCTGTAACGAGTATCACACCAGAAACTAAAATACACCATTTAAATCAACCAGATATTGAAGAGAATGAAGAATATTTTTTACTCTTAGAAGAGACCTATCCCGAACAGAGAAAGTTTCTCAATAACTTGGAAAATCCTCCAACTGTTTCTGAAATTCTTGAAAAGTGGCCTGTGTTGTTGCGCCAATCGGCAGTAACCTGGCATTTTCAAAAATTGACTGAAATCGACATCAATGATATCGAGCGAAGTATAAATGACAAAGTAGAGAAAATCCTTACTTTTGCTAAAAACAAGAAATTAATAACCAATATAAATAAAGATAAAATGATACAGCAGTGTTTAGAATTTTATGCCACTTCATTTAGAGAAGATTTGTCTGTATTCATTTACACAATTAAGGTACTTTTTACTTTCGCAACAAAAATAAAATACTACATAAAAAGATTAACGTTTGCTCTTTATATGTCTACTTCTATTAAATTATGTAATTTTATTTTTGATATGGAAAAATTGAAATCTCTAGAGAATATCATTTCCAGATAACTAATAAGGCTATTTTAATTTCCAGGACACCGGAGATGCTTCTAGAGCTACTAATATAAGTACTATGGCCCCTTGTATAATCGAATTCGGTAAGCTCCTTTTTTCGAAATACATAGGAACCAAAAATATTGATTTGAAATGGTTTTCATGATTTTTCAGAAGCACGTGTAATTTTTTAGCGTGTCTCATATAGTACGATGTATTATTAAAAATAATTAAAAATTAATAAAACTAACTTTTGATTCTTAAATAATAATGAACATTAGTAGTAAAAAATACTCGAATGATTTAGCGAAAACTGCTAGACAGTTGCTTTCATACGAGGTATAATTTAAAAACTTACAATGGCTGTATCTCATGAACTAAAGATAGTATCAAAAATAGGCTTAAAACCATTTCTAGGATATGAAAGGTGAATATAAATGACAAAATACAGGTCTCACCACCATCAAGCATCCATGCGCTCTATGCAAACCAGGGTGGTTCAATAGTACCTACATAATTAAAAACCTATTTAAAAAATAGATGGCATGTTTACCTGAATTACATATTTTTAAATATTTCTAATCCAGGAATATAAAAAAAAATTTTTTATTAGGTTTACCTTTTCTGATATCGTTAATTCATGAGCCATTAAATAGTCACCATGTATATTTAATTTAAAAATATTTTTTTTTTTCAGATCAACATAAAAGATATGACGTGATGTTGGAGAAAGAAATTGTAAATTCTTTCGTGGCTTTTGTAGATGCTCTAAAATACTGTTTCGCTCTGTACTTTATTTATAATATAGAGTACCCGAAGAAAGTTGGAGCTACATTAGAGATGATACAGAGGTATCATTTAAAGTTACATCCTATAAGTGGAGCTAAATCAACTACAACAAAAAAAAAGGTGTTCACTTTGATGAATAAATTAAAAAATATTTAAGAACATTGTTAATATGACTGTTATTTGTTTTCTGTGAGAGTTACTTTTTTAAGTTTTTTACATTTTTATTGTTTATTTTTGTTGTTTATTTGTTTCCTAGTTTTTAGTTTAGATAAGATAATCAAATATAAAATATTTCATATATTGTCCGATTACAATAAGAAGAATAGAGCTGCGTCATCACTTCACGAAGTAATTCATTGGCGATAGGCGATAGTCGCCTACTAGGTGTTTAAAAAGGGGCGTATTTATAGAAATATTTTTTTACACCCAACCACTTATTTATTCTATATATTTATTGATAGTTATAGATAAGTATTTGAACTATAAAATAATTGTTATGAAGTAGCTGTGTTTTTTTTATTTTAATCAGACTCTATTGTAGACGTTTTAATGTTTATTTCTCAGGCCTGAGACATAATTTATATTTATATTTTAGTTTAACATATTTTTAAACAATAAATTATGATCCAACTATTTAAAATACAGAATTCGATCTGTATCTGAATTGTTTGAAATACTACTAATTTTTTTATACTATTTTAATTTTTAAGTTAGGAATAAAATGTTTTGTTATTTGATATTTAAATAAATTTTAAAATGCGTATGTCGTATATTCTTTTTATGTACGTACCTTACAATGTCTTGAATATAGAGTGATCTAAATACTATACTTTTGGATCACCCTGTATATTTGACCTAATAATTCATTGTACAAATACAGATAATTCACAAGCTAAAATCACAATCCAAATTAATTACACTGTAATGTGAAAATTTCAAATAAATTACAAAGTAAAATCACAACTTGTAAAAACATACAGGGTGATATTACATACTGAGTTGTAAAAATACAGATAACTCACAAGGTAAAATCATAACTCGTAAAAAAATACAAGATTATATTACACACTTGGTTGTAAAAATACAGATAACTGACAAGGTAAAATCACAATATGTAAAAAATTACAGGGTGATATTACTCAGTAAGTTGTAAAAATACAGATAACCCACAACGTAAAATCACAACTTGTAGAAAAATTACAGGGTTATATTACACACTTGGTTGTAAAAATACAGATAACTTACAAGGTAAAATCACAAATGTCAAAAAAAATGACAGGGTTAAATAACAGAGTAGTCTGTAAAAATACTAACTGCATGTGGAAAAATACAGAATTTACTGTATAATAAATATTACAAGCCTATTCTGAATTTTAAAGTAATCAATGCGTTTTTACAGTCATTAATGCAATTTTACAATGATTCAGTGTAAATATCATTCTAAAGTGACTGTGAAATTACAGTCAAAATCACTGGCCACAAATAACCAATGATTTTAGCTGTAATTTCACTATTCAGTGTTTTCAGTGTAGGAATTATTTTTTTAAACCAAACAACTTACTTATTTATTGAGAGTTATTATAAGAGCCAATTTAGCCGATCTTTATAGGATTATAGCTGCAGCTGAATGGAGTGGTGTCACTGGGGTCGACGACATGAACGCAGCCTTTGACATTTTTTACTCATTTTTTTTAAAATAATAGTTTATCACGTTCCCAAAAATAAAGTGAGCAATCGTAAATATCCACCTTGGTTTAATAGTAGTATCATTAAAAAGCTGAAGAGAAAAGACAGGTTATTTAAAAAATTAAAAATACTGATGATCAAGATATTACCCAAGAGTTTAAAATTATCAGAAATGATATAAAACGTGACGTTGACATAATAGCATATCGTAACCACTGCAATGAAAATGGCATCAAATTGGACTCTAAAAGGTTTTGGCAATTTATAAAAATAAAAGACAAACTAATTCCATTCCTACTGTTATGCAATATAATAATCATAAGTAGCAGATCCTAAAAATATTGCCAACGCTTTTTCGCAATATTTTGTAACTCATTTTCACAACCTTTTCTCAACAACTATCAAAATAATGCTTCTGCTGTTAATTTTTTAGATCAATTAAATATTAACTTCTTTTCTGTAGCTCATGTGAAAAACAGTCTTATAAAAATTAAACCAAAGCATACAATGGGACCTGATCTCATTCCAGCCTCCTTCTTCACGATTGTGCATCTGCCTTAGCAGCTCCGCCTTAGCAGTTCCGACTGTGGCTTTTTCGAGGGGTTTTCGCCCACTTGTCCTGAGAATTGTGACACACTACATAGACTATGCACAATACCACTTACAAGCAGAGCTGAGGTACTCAGTACAAAAATGTACTTGAAATAAATAATCAGTATTTTTTTACTTTAAGTACTTTACTTAAAGTATTTATGAACTAACGATACTTTTGGAAATATACTTATTACATTTGAAAAAAGTACTTGTACTTAAATTAACGCTTTTGTGGTAAGTATTACTTGTTACTTGAAAAATGTACTGGAAAATCAGAATCTACTTAAAGTTTTTTCTGAAAATACTTAAGTTATTTTTAAAAGTTAGTACTTAACTGGAAAATACTTAAAGTATTTTTGAAACTATTTTAAGTACATATTTTTATAAGTATTTTATTAAAAATACTGCAACGCCAAACAGGCTAGGACTCATTTCATATATTACCCGGACGATAAAGAGTACAGTAAAGTGACAGTAAACATGCTCAAACAAATTAAGTATTTGCGTCATACGCGTCTGACGTGAGCCGATGCCGGACTTGTAGTTCACCGATACCTGGTACTAATAATACTACTCGTAATAAGAGTAATAAACATACAGTACTAAAATAGTGAACAGATAGAGACAGTATCTGAAAATAATGTTATTCTTGAAAAATAATACCTATGTACTTGTGTTATTTTCATACTCATATGCTCATGTTATGTTATGTTATGTTATGTCTTCCGAGTTACGTTTATGGCTTTGACTTTATGTTACCCATTCCGACGAATAAAAAAGATATTGAAATATGAATAGATGAGTATTTTATTTACTCGTATATGAGCAACAAACAATGATTCTTGTAAGTCATGATCTCTATAGTCATGATGATATGAAAACATCTGTCACGAGTCATCATGTCATCATCTAACAAGTAACAATGTAACAAATACGCCGAGTAAAACTCAAGATTTCAATTATATAATAAACCAAGTATACATTGTTATACATATACAAACATATTGGATGGCCGTTTTTATTGGTCATGCCTAAACAAAATAGTAGTGTACTTTATTAATTTATACAAAGCTATATATGTTGAGTTTTAAGTTGATAACTCAAACAAAAAAAAAACAAAGAAAAACCAAAAACAAAAAAAACTTGGTAAAAAAAAAAGAACTTGTAAATACTGTATTATATTATTATTATAATTATAATGTAAATAAAATTAATTTGTAAAACTAGACGTGAGCGTATTATCCTTACTATATGATATTGAACTAAGATAAAATTTAATCGATGTGGTTTGGCGAATGGACTCAGTTCCCGCAGTCAAAAATTCAAATTAAAAAAAAAAAAAAAAGTTGATAACTCAAGAGGGGATCTTTAATTTAATATATACTTAAAACATGACTTAAGTAATTAGTATTTCAAAATACTGAATCTTTCAAAGTAAGTATTTTAAGTATTTTTAACATATTTTCAGTATATTGAATTTACTTTAAGTATTTTTAAAGTATGTACTTGCTACTTATACTTGAATTATTTGTTTTAAGTAAAATACTTAATATTTCAAGTACTTTCGTAAAATACTTATACTTAATATTGTAAGTAAATTTGGAATTTAAACTACTTAATACTGGTTACTTAAAGTACATTTGCTAAATACTTATCACAGCTCTGCTTACAAGCAATGACAACCCTGTTTTTTACTAGCTTTTTCAGGGGTACCTGCCACTTGTTATCGAATGTTACTGAAATCAGAAATATTAATTAAAAAAAAATCATGCTCACCAGACAACTGAAAATAATACAGTATAATTGATAATTGATCCCTCAACGCGCATCGTGTGCTTTTTGCACACGATTCTATTTTAAACTGCGTGCACACTCCACTCGACAAATTATTGCCACACGCTGCTGTAGCGAAATTTACAAATTTCTTTGTTATTCTAGAAAGATAGGCAACCAATATTATTCATTCTTTATCTCTTATATTGCGTTAACAATATTTTCATTATCGCATAATAATTATGGAACCATTCCTATCTATAGAAATTTGTTTCGTAAATAAATGAAACATATTCAAATAATTTTATTAACAATACTTTTACATGGTTGTTCTTTGGTAAAGATGTAAGTATTCATTTAAATTCAATTTTAAATAATAGAAAAAATATTTTCTCATACAGTGTGAAACAGCCAAATGGTAATAAATAATAGGTGGCGTGTTCGGAAAAACACTCGGACACTTCGATTGGTATTTTTAGTCGCACATTTTTTTAACAAAAACTTTTTATAAAGAGTGTCATGCGACAAATAACAACTTTCTTTTTTTAAATGCAACACCCTGTATATTTTCCAATTTTAGGATTCTTCAGAAAATATATTTTATGTACTATGTCTTATACCTAACTGTTTCGGAAATATTAACAGCAGTATGCATAGTCGATCGCCAGCGACTCGCCAGAGATTCATTTCGGCGTATTCGCTGGCGATCCGCCGGCGAAAGCCCAAAAAGCTGGCGACTCGCCGGAGATTGTTACCGGAATGTCATTTCACGCAAATTTTCATGTTCTTTTATATGGAAAAATTTGATATTCGTTCATTATTTTTTGATTTTTAAGAAATGAATCATGAATAAAATGCGAGAAATACCGGTGATAATCCCTATAAAAGAAAATAAAAACTTTCGTGAAATGACATTCCGGTGACAATCTCCGGCGAGACGCCACCTTTTTGGGGTCTCGCCGGCGGATCGCCAGCGAATCGCTGGCGAAACGCCGAAATGAATCTCTGGCGAGTCGCTGGCGATCGACTATGCATACGGCTGTAAATGTTTTCCGATTTATTGCAAAAATTAACATTAATAAAATAAAATAATTTGATTATAG